TCGTTGAAGTATGAGTCAATTACTCATGTGGTGAGCTTTCTTGAATTCTCTCTGATACCACGACCAATTTGCGAAAACGAGATCAGAGCAATTCACTTAAACAATCGCGTCTTAATATTTTAACCTAAGTTTGAGTTGATCAGAAGATTTGTGTCTAGAACCAGCATACTCTTGCTATAATATGCGCGATACATTCATTTAGATCCTTGTTCTCATAAGTACGAAAAGTATTTTGCTGAAGGATGAAGTTGTTTAGACATGGGCAGATTTATGCCATCAAGCTAGCTCCCTGATTTGTAGTTCTTATGCTTTTGGGTAATACTCCAAAACCTATTGTTAAAGGCACTTTTCCTCTCATGCATTCCCTACATCTTTTCAATTGCTTCTTTAATACTATAATTTATTTAGATTAGCTTGACCGCTTGGCAGGATGCTTTTCGAGCCGCCATATTGCCTGCTCCACTGCCATTTCGTTTGACTGACCACTGCTCCGTCAGACAACGGCTGCATTTGCTTGAATGGCAGCAATCTGCAGGCCTCACAAGGTCGGTGCAGGCCGTTGAGAATGCTCTCCTCGTCTATCCTGAGACCAATGACTTGAGTAATTCAGCTCTGAACACAGACATTGCAACCCTATCTTCTGCAGAAATGCTACCCAAGTGCCATCCCGTCCTCTTCATTGATCCTGATTCCCAGTGCTTGGGATGGTTGAATTATGTAGAGGGGCGTCGTGGCCTAGTTACGATGCACCTTGCGAATGACGACAATGAAAACTCCTTTCAGCCAATAATCAAATCCGTGAAGAAGAATTCTGCCGATTTTGTCAGCGATCGTGTATCCATTCACTCATGCCTCTCTGGGAAAACAGATATTTGTAGTAATGCTACAGTGGAGCAGAAAGAACAGCTCAATAAAAACATAGAAAAACAGATTACATCCATAAGAACCACCCTAGTGACAAAAGAAAGCAGTCACCAGTCGGACTGGCAAAGCATGCTGAAAAGCTGCATAGAAGTAAGAATTCGTGGATTTGCATCAACTTTTGCATAGAATTCGTAATGATACAAATCATCAGTCGTAACTTATTTGAATTATTCAGTAGAGTCTTTTGAACTAAGGCCTGAGAGTTAAAGCTGCCTAGGTATGCTTGCTAGCTGTTTAAACTGTGATGAAATGAAAATACACATGATTCGGTGATTTAACGGATAATTTGTGTGACAGATTTACATTGGACTTGGAGTTCATATCTAGTGTGTTTTGCCCCTATCATTAAGCATACTATCTTGCCCTTTCTTTTCTAGTAAAATTCATGCGGAACTAACATTAAATACTTCTACAGCCAGGTATATTTTGCGATCCTATTTTTTTTCGTCTACATGACATATAATTTAAGAAGCGACCTAGTGCACTTTTACCATCTTATAAGATAAATTCCTTATAGTTGTCAAGATTTCCAAATTGCCAAGTTAGCTTGAAAGGAATTATTTAATTTTAATGTTTAATTATAGTGCGAAATAATCAACAAATCACGTTTTATAATTGCATCAGACTCATTGGTACTTGGGAAGTAAACATGCTTTTCACAACATTGGATAAAGACAGTTATTACTTTTACCGAAAGATTGCACTGTATTATTTAACTCAAAACACCTCAAAAACTAAATTGTGACTTTCCTAAAATAGCATTTGCTGTATCATTCTAGCGCTCTTCTAACATAGTTTACATTTATATGATAACATGATTGTTATTACAAATATGATAACGGGTTAGTTTGCTAATTATTTTCCTTTATAACTAGTTTTAGAACCTTTTCTGATCTGGAAAACAGAGATCCTCCAAAAGGGAGAGAAATTTGCATTTCGGAATGAAAGGAAGGCAATCAAGAACATTCTAATAGAGA